GCATCTAAATGTACACTCTTTCGTGTGCACGTTGAGTTCTCCTAGAAACTCTGAGGCCGCCTCTCCACTGCACAGTTCCTTGACATGGGAGATCAGTCTGCAGCTCTCTCTCTTTCAATCTCTCTCAGTTCCCACTCCTAGAAGTATACCCAGCCTCTTGCTGCTAGACTGTCTTTCCCCTTATATGTCAAGAGGGTTCAAATCTTGGTGGCACTATCTTCTACACAGCATCAATGGACCCAGCCATGCCAACTTGTAGGAGTGCACATTGCTTTACTTCAGCTCACTCTCTGGCCAGCTGTTTCTCTCCAAGTTTCTATCCTCCTGTTCATGCAGGTGCAGGACATATCAACAAATCTGCCAGGGGATGAGATGCCAGTCTCTCTCCTTACAGTCACCTCTAGTTTCTCCAGCTGATTCTATTGGAGCCTTGTTCACTTAACTTGAAGTGGGGTGGGGGATAAATAGGAAAGGAAAAGGCACCGTACTCTCCAAGAACCTAATAACACATGGCTTCAATGATTCTCTCATCCTCCTCTTCCTAAGTGTTCTGCTTATATGGCCTGAGAGTTGGGGTTGGATGTTTTGACTACAGTAGGTCCAGTTTTGTCCAGCTTTTAGTCCTGACCCCAATGTTTAGTCTGGCCTCAAATGGTGGCAACTATTTAGAAGGTGAGTACTTCATGCTCTTTGTTCCCTATTTCGGACCTCTCTCAGCATCCTGTTATAAAGGTGTTAGCTGTGTCTATTATAGTGTTGCATATTCTTGTGGGTCCTTAGATACTCGATTACTGACACAGTACTAGTACATCATATTTCACTAACTGATTTTAGTTTATCTCCTGTTTGTACTTTAACACATGTTACCAGGTTACCTCTTGACAAGATTATAATCTGCCTACAATCATAATTTGGGATATAAGGATGTTCCTAAAAATCTTCTGGCATGTTTTAACTTTCATCTCATTCATTCATTCAATCATTCATTTACCTCAGGCATTGAAATGGATGATCCATATATAGTTGTGAACAAAACACATGGTTCTTGTCTTCTGGAGTTTGCCTATGGTGGTGTGGAAGATAGTTAATAGATAAGAAAACAAATATAAAACAAATATATGTGTAATTTAACCTTATAAGTATTATGAAGGAAACAGTGGACACAATAATAGAGAATAACTGTGGGGGGGCCAGGTAAGAGGTGGGAGGGAGACCTGCTTAAATAGGGTAATTAGATCTTTGAGACATGAAGATTGAGGAGGAGCCAGCCATGAGAAAAGGTAGGAGGGTGGTCCAGGCAAGGGCACAGCTTATGCCAAAGCCTGAGAACAGAGAGATTAGCAAGGAACTGAAAGAAGTTTCTGGGTGGGAGTGTTATGAGAAGAGGAGAACATGGTAGGATGAGGTTGGAAAGGTAGCAGAGGCTAGATCAAACAGGGTATTGCAGCCATGATTAGGAATTTGGATGTAATTGGAAACGATAAAAGGGTTTTAAGTAGGAACATGTGATTTCATTTATATTTTCAAAAGAATAGTCTTGCTGCTCTATGGAGAATAGATTGAAGGGAGCATCCAAGATATGTGAGATTCAAGAGGAGACATCAGGTAGGCAACTGGACATATGTATATGGAGCCCAAAGGAGAGGTGTAGCCTGGAGTTACAGATTTGTGAGTCATTTCAACCATTCCTAGGGTTCCAACAACAAATTGTAAAAATCTAAAATCAGCATCCTTACCACTCATCCTTTATGTAGCTGTTTATAATTTATATTTGATCATCACAATTCTCTGAGATGCTTATTATTCTACCTTTACAGATAAATGCTCTGAAGCTCAGAGAAATTATTTAACTTGCTCAGTGTCTCTTAGTATTAGTCAGGGGTAAGCCTAGACTTTTGACTACCAAGTCCATAATACCACCTCATATTATTGTACTTCCCTCTATTTTAAAGGGTCTAGAAAGAATATGAGTGATTGACTAAACCATGAAGGTTTCTTTTGAAAAAAAATTACCTTATATTCCCTATCATACATATCTTAAACTTCCTGTGTTCCAATTTACCTTAAATTGTGGTAGTAAAACTAGGACTGTCAATGAAAGAATGAATGAGAGAGGTATTATGAAAGAACAGAAAGGACTTTGTGACTGATGGGACATAGGGAGCTAGGGGAAGAATTTAAGCAAAAGAGCTGTAAGAGTTACACAAAAAGAAACATCATTAAATCACTAATAATAGCCAGCACTAATATGGGATTTCTTATGTACCATGTAGTATTATACACACATACATATCTATATCATATCTATCTATCTATCTATCTATCTATCTATCTATCTATCTATCTATCTATTTCTTTCTTTTATGTCTCTTCTAAATTATCCTATGAGATGGGATCATTATTATCCTCATTTTACAGATGAGGAAACTGAAGAACAGAGAAATAACATACTCAAAGTCATGAAGATATTAAGTGGTGGGGCTGAGATTTAAATCCAGGCAGTTTAGTTCCAAATTCTGTACTCTTAACCACTATGCCATATTGCCTCTATGAAGACATCAACTGGGGGAATCAGTTGGCAAGGGAGTTGGACATGCTCACTTTAAATAATAGCAAGGCATATAAGGAGGAATGAACAGAACATTTGAATTACATTACAATTGTGTTTAAAGAGAAGATTTAGGCTTGGGGACAAATTTAGGATCTATGAAACTATGAGGCAGGATTTTTTAGGCAAAAGTGGAATCTGGAAGTTGGAAAAGTTATTACAAATATCTGATAATGGTTTTCTTCTTGGAGAGAATATGGGGAAGAAATGATAAGTTGTGAACTGAACTGTGGGAAATGTTCAAGCAGGGGCAGAGGACTTAGCAGAAAAACGGGATTATCACCAGGTCTTGGTAAATGATTAAATACAGAAAGTGAGAGAGGAAGGAGTCAAAGATGAACATGATTTGATCCTAGTGACTAAGAGGAAATGGAACCATTAAAAAGGGCAAAGGTATTTTTGAAGACATGTGTTCCAGATGATGTAGAATATGAGGAGGATCACTTTCTCTAGAATAAAATCCAGACATCCACATCCTAGAAAAAGCATTCAAACCCTCTTGTCTGGCTGCAACCTACCTTATCAGTATTACATGTTAACCTTGCTTCCTCTCTTGCTACCAGTATCAGTTAGGATTCATGATCACAAGTGACAGAAAACCTCTCACTAGTTTAAGCAATAAAACAAACATATGAAAGAATTTATTGACTGAAATTTCCACAGTTATCTAGTCCACATTGGATTCAGGGCATCAAACACATCTCCAGGCCAAATCCCATCTTTGAATCTGCTTTTTTCCATGTTGCTTTCTTCCTTAGAATCTCTGAGTGGAAAGATGGCTTCAGGCCTCCATTTTTCTAGATTAAATCCATTGGAAAAGGGAGAGCACCCCTCTTGGTAACTCCAGCCTAAATCAGAGGATTAACTCAAATATGCTTTCCTCTTGGAGTTCCGCCCCAGCCATATGGACTGAGAGTTAAGAAAAGATAGTTCTCCAAAGGAAATTATCAGAATAGGGAATGAATACTGAGCAGGCAAAAATGAATACTGAAATCTCTTCTGCTATATGACGAAGTAAGTTAAATCCTGCTTTCCCACTCTCGACAGAAAAATCCTGAAGTGAAGGATTAGGGATCTGAATAAGTTCCTCAATTTTGATGTTCTGTTTCTGTGAGTATACGGCAAGAATCTGAAATGTTTACTGAGGTGAATGTCACCTTGAAGGGAGGATTTTATAGCCAAAACAGTTGTTTATTTTTTGAAACAAGAAGATGGCTTCTATTTCAAATCCAAAGGACATTCATTAAAATACGATAAGTACTAGGAATTCGGACTGTAAAGACCTCTTTTCCAATAATTTACAAGTATTGAAATGTGCTTTCCCATGTGGACCAAGTCTGTGTCTTAAGCATCAAGGGAAGTAATTTCCAGCTAAGATAAGCAGGAATTATTCACGTTTTTCTAACAAGAGAAGCCGTGCAAATTAGGGTCCTGGTTTATCCCTCCAGCTTCGTCCCCTATCTTCCATTAATAAAAACTCCAAATGAACACATCCTGACCTCCTTTTGCCTCCCTTCTCCCGCGAAGGGCTCATGTCCCGTCTCCCCAGACCCACCCACCAATAAGAAACGACCCAGGCCGTGCTCCTCCAGGAGAGGGGGCAAAGATGTCTCTGGCGGTCCAGTCATCTTCGCAACCCCCCTCTCCCAGCCCCAGGAGAGGAAACGTGAGTGATGTCACTGGAGTGGGGAAAAAAGTCTTTCGCCCGCTAACACCCGAAAAATATTCCCTGGCGTCGCAAAGTGATTTGCTTTCCAAGGGAGAGAGGGTCCCCGTTTTGGCCTCCAGGTCCCTCATCCGGCAGGAAGCTCTTCCGTCTCCTCGCTCCCTGCATCTGAGGTGCAAGCCAAAGCAGTCGCAATCAAACGCTACCGCTCCCCGGACCAGCCGCACTCTGCACCCCACCAGGCCCCGCCTCCCCAGCTTTCCAGTAACCAGTGTGGGAAGGGGGCTCCCGGGAGATCCCCGTTTCCCTCCGCACCGAACGGCGGCCCAAAAGAGCGGGAGTCTCCTCGGGCGCCCGGGATCCCCTCCGCGGCTCCGCGCTGCCTAACGGGGCAAATCGCATGCGCACCGAGACGCGCCGGGGAAAGGGAGAGTGAGGGGTGGGGCGAACGCCGAGCGCCTGCCGTCGGAGCCCGCGGGGGTCACTGACGACGCATGCGCCGGGAGGGAGCGCAATCACAGACGCAGCTTGCGGCTACCGGCTTAAGAAAGGAAACCGCGGACGGCGAGAGCGCAAAGGAAATCTGGCCCCCGACGCGTGCGCGCTCCCGGTGAGTGGCGCCCCACCGGCTGGGCCCGGGGCCTGACGTCTGCCGGTAGGCTTGCCTCGGCGGCGCATGCGTGCTCCGGGTGCCGGTGGAGGAGGGGAAGGGAGGGGAGGGGGAGGAGGAGCCGGCGGCAGTAGCGGTGAATATTTCGGGGGTGGTGGGGGCGCCACTCACTGGCCCAGGTGCTGCCTGTGCTGCGAGCCGCGGTGTCTCCTGGACGCAGCCGGGGTAGTGGTTCCGAGTCACTGCAGCTAGACTCCAGGGTGGGGGAGGGAAGAAGCGGAGCCGCCGCAAGCCGCACGGTGAGGGCGCGGGGAAGGGGCGGGAGCGGGGGGCGGTGTGTGTGAGGGGCCCGGGGGCGGCGGCCAAGGGAGCGAAGGCGGGAGCTGAAGCCCAAGTTTTGCCTGTCGCCCTAGTGTGTCCTTTCCTGGGAGTTGGGGCGGAGGCCCGCCCTGGCTGAGGGACCCTCCAGGGCAGCTGGGGTTACCTGCGGGGCAGGGGCGGGATTGGGGTGCACGGCGGCGCGGCTGGTCGGAGCGCTTCCCGGGGCTGGGGCCGATTTCAGCGGCAGCGCGGCCGGCAACGCCGGAGACCCGGTGTCAAGAGGGCTGTCGCTGGGGACCCGCTAGGCCTTGTGACCCACTTTATTCCTGTCACAACGCGGGCACGTTTGGAGCGGCGCCCAATGGGGCTCCGGGGCGGCCAGCTCCTCCGGGGAACCCCCGCCCTCCCGGCGCCCGGCCCGGGCGCCGCGGTCTGCAGTCCGAGCGGCCGCCGCCGCCGCCCCTGGGCTGGTTCCGTTAGTGGCCGTGGTTCCGGGGCTCGGTCCCCGGGGGGCCCGCGGCCGGCTCGAGCGGCGGCGCCGGTTCGAGGGCTCCCCGCGCGGCGCCGGGTCTGCCTTCCTTCCGCCGCCCCGCGCTCCGCGCTCCCTGTCCCCGCCGCATCTGGCTTTGCAAGAGCCCTTTCCGCCGGCGGAGCCCGACTCTCTGTACCTGGTCCCGGCGCTATGCCCCCCGGTGTGTCATTTCCAGCACGTTGCGTCGCAGAGATTATATTCTTGAGTGTGGTTTCCCCGGTGTAAACGTCGTCCTGTTGGCAGTAGTGAGCAGAATCCTGAAAGATAACAAGTCTCGGCCTCGACCTGGCGGGTGAAAGATCGACTCAGGTGGTGGTGTCTTGCTGTTAGAATGCCATGCTACACGACTTGAAGGTTTTCTAGCCTCTTTTAAAAAAAAAGTCAAATGTTTTCTTTTGCAGTGAAAGAAAAGCACAAGAAGTAAAGAAACTTTTACAGTCATTGTTGATTTAACTGTTACGCGGATCCCCCAAATCAAAACAAGGTAATTTCACTTAAAGATTTCATTCTAATATGTAGCTTTATTTTAAGTGATAAGAGGAGAAAATTGTGGCATGTTTTCCTTCCACCTGCCTGAAAAACAAACGTCCTGAAAAGGATATAACTCAGATAATGAGTTGCTTCTGAAAGTGGCCCCTTGGGGTACTTCAAATCTGGTTTGTTTTAGAATCTGGTTGGGGGAAGGAAGCTAACTTAGGTGTTAAGTAGTCGACGGAACAGAACGTCATTAAAGGTTATAGATGAAAGTTGTGGTAGAACCAGTCATGATTAGCTCTGAAAAAAAGAATGAGGAAGCTTTCTGTGTACTGACATGGAAAGATCTCCAAAAATGTTATAAAGTGAAAGAAACAAGGTGTAGGACGGTGTGAAGAATGTGCTGCTTTATGCGTGAAGTGGGGATGTGGAATAAGAGTATAAACTTGCGTTTGCTCTTCTCTATAAAGAAACTCTGGGAGGATACTGGAAAACTGATAGTGGTGGGGGAGAGGGGGAAGTAGCCTGATGAGGGGAGGGTGGGAAATGAGATGTACACTCTGTGTCTTTATATTTTAAAATTTTTGTGACTATATTATGGATTCATAAACCAGATTAAACAAAAATTCCCCCCTCCAAAACCCTTCCCTCCAAAGATTTGCTGTGTGCCTTTTGTCTGTCTGCTTGTCTCTCTTCCCTAATTTTTGGTGATTTTGGCCGTTTTCAATATGATTTTTCTTAATATCTTTTAGAAAAATGAACTAAAATCGAAAGAAGGTTTGGGATGTTTGGCTATACTTTAATTTTTAAGATGCTGAAGTCACAGACAGATTTAACTTTTAAAGATGTTTAGTTGTATTGTGCTTTGCTAAAATATATGACATTGTTTTTACATTGGGTATTATGGCTGGATTATGCTGTTTTCAGAGGATAGTTTGTGTCCCCCTTTCCTCTTTTTTCAGGCGTCATAGTTGTATAAAATTTTGCTTTTTCATTTTTTAGCCCCAGAGTTGTCATGGAGAATATGACTACTCCATTAAAATGATAATAGAATTAATTGTCCAGGTAGTTTGCTTTTCAGATTGGGAAACTTTTTTCTCTTAAGGAAATCAGATGTGAATCTCAGTGAAATGTAAATTTATCTGTGTTTATATAGTTCTTATGAAAAATTTAAAATAAAACTGAGAGGCAGTGTTCTATTGGTGCAAAAAACTAAAAATTTTTTATGACTTATGAATTGCTGGAAACATTGTATTAAGAATTTTTGGCTCTGTCAGCCTAACTTTTTAAATTAGGTTAAAATCGAAAAGGGGATTGTTAGAATGGATCTAATTTTTAGGGGAGGGTACTGAAACTCCCTCTGGTGGCTAATATTTTATAATCAAAGTAGTGAATGTCGAGTAGTGCGTGACAGTTGCTTATGGGCATTTTTGTTAGCAGTATTCCTTTTTATTTTGTAGGCTAGGATAATTGTATTATTTCTGTTTTCATCTGTCGGTCTCTAGTAGCCAAACTTTTGCAAAAGGGCATTTATTTTTCCTTTGTATTCCGTGTGGGTCTATTCAGTCTTTTTGAAAAAATAAAATTTTACTTAAAATTTTGTTTTTAAACAGAAGTAAATTGATGCCCATGAAAAAGTAAAACAATACAATGTATATATAAGTGAAAACCTCCTTTGCACACTTTCACTTCTATCTCATATCCCTTCCCAGAGATAACTGCTGTTAACACAGTTGTATAACCTTCTAGATCTTTTTCTGTGCATTTATAAACATAGACTTTTCAATCTTTAAAATTTAATTGCTTTGATTGATTCTCTGATCTGCCAGTTTGCCTCTACTGTGGACTCTCTTACTACTCACAGCACAGGGAATAACTTGGAGTGTGTCAGAAAGTTTAACATGTGGTATACACCTTAGGACATACTCATCTTTTCACTTGTGTGGTGCCGGTCGGTTTGGGGTGCATTTATAGAGTTTGCAATGAGGTGTTACTGGTGTGAGCTTTTTCTGGTGTAGATTGAATTCAGCTGAAAGATTTGGATTCCATGGCTTTTAGAGGGCTCTTTAGAGTCCACATTCTAGAATTTTCTTTGGGTTTTGACCTGGTCAGTAGCTCACAGGTGAAACTTTGATTTTATTCTCCTGTACTCGCACACCCCTGGAAAGCCCCCTAGATTACCTCAGCCTCTTCTCTGAAGAGAATGTAGGCGGACTCTGTCCTTAACTAAGAGACACTGATTGACTTGGATGAAATCAGCCTTTGAAGTGAAATGGGGAGAGGAGGCCTTTTGGTCTGGTTTGTGCTTAACTGACAGCAGACAGGTTGTATGCACACTCCCACCTACCCCCTATCCTCCCCTGCAGAGAGAACACTACCTTTCTAGTAGTTCCAGAGGGTTGTTTTTTTTTTTAAACCAAGCTACAAAGAATTGCCAAGCTTAATTCTTTTTAGCTGATAGAGTCTGCAGAAATTTCAGAGTATTAATCAAGACTCTTTACTAAGCTATATGAGATGCATAGAAAGATGCAGGATGAATGACGCTGCCCTCAGTGGGTTTCAAATCTAGTATGGTTAAAAGAGCATGTACATAATGATTATAACACAAGATAGGAAATGATAGATTCCAGAAGAAAAACAAAGATTTTTAAGGGTGAGACTATTTCCAACTTTTTATTTATGCGGGTATGGGGTTTGGAGGGAGAGTATATATCTCAATCTTTTAAATAGTTAAGAAAGGATAGAACAAACTTAGCTCAAATCTTAGTTCTTAAGGAGCAAGGAAGTAAGGAGTTAAGTTGCATCCTTATAGCAGGCATTATGAGACTAATTGATAGTTGCTTTTTTTGTTTGTTTTTATTCTGTCCTACAGGAAAGAGCCATTTGATGTTTTATTTGATAATTATAATACAGCCTCTCTTAGATTTCAAGATTGTTAGAAGTATTAAATTAGGAAATTTAATTTTGTCAGTTAGCTATTGTCTACCATCTAATGTGTCAGGCAGTGTTAGTATTAAAAGTAAATTGTTTCTTCTTATCTCATTTCCTTTCCTCAAAGCACATATTTAATGTACCCTCTCTCCAACATTTTTACTTTTAGTGCTGTGTCAAATAAAATATTTATTTGCTGCAAATATTTTAAATTATTAAAGCAAACAACAGCATTGTGAAAAATCGAAGTTCCACATTATAGCAAAGCTACCTTTTATTGTTTGTGTCTATTTCCTTCCATGTCTTTGCAGATGCATAAAGTAAAATGTTTTTTTTTAAGTGTAGTTTCTTGTGGACATTGTACCAGTGGACATTGCATTTTCTCCTTTTCTGAGTCTAAAATTCTAGATGGAGTTGTATGAATTATTTATAGAATATTTTTAAGTGTCAGGGCAATTTAATTCTTACTAATTGACTGTAATTATCACAATGGCATTTATATTTGCAGGTTGCTTTACAGCCATTTGTTAGTCATTTTTATAGCTTTGTTAGATGTAGCTTCTGTGAAGTAGGTGGATAAGAGACTCCTGTTTTTCTCCATGTTTTCAATTATGTAAATGTTAAATTACCTAAACTCCTCCTCATAAGTATAGTGTCAACTCTTGAGTTATCACTTGTTTTAGGTGTATATTTCACAAAGATGTAATTCTGCTTATTTTAAGACCTAGAAGTCTATAGAAAGAAATTGCTTGTAAAAAAAAAAAAAAAAAAAGACAAATTTTTATGAATCACTTTTGACTTTTATAGTATACTCTTTAGGGTGTGATTTACCTTTTATTTTTCAGAAATATGAAAATATTTCTGAAAAGAAATAAAATATTTTCATTTCTACATTAGTAAGGTCAAATAGTAAGACAAAAATTCCCATCTTTTTCAAAGAGTTCACGTTTAATCAGGTATTTAAATTTGTACTTCTCACCAAAAGAGTGGAAAATGAAAATACAGGTTGATTTATGTTCGAAGGTTTTGTATTTAAAACAAAAACACAAATGGGAGTTGTACCAATGAGGGTTAAGCTATATGGCTAGCTAAGAATTTATCATTTGTATTAAAATATGGCTTTAATGTAAATAGTTGCCTTTATTTCTTTCTTAATCTCTTTCCCCCCAGTTATAAAAATAGCGCATCCCCAATGTGGAAAACTTGGGAAACACGAAGAAAAGCATGAATTAAAATTTTAAAATTTCACTGGAAATCCCATCACCAAGAGATGCCATTGTTAAGCTTCTGGCATGTCTTCTTCCTGCGTTTTCTTTAGCTAATATATAAGTACATGTACACTTATAGACACATGATATTTACAAACGGGCTCATAATGCATCCACTGTAGTGCAAACTGTTGACTTAACAGTGACTCTTGAACATTTTTATGTCAGTATTTTTTGTAATAGCTATGTAGTATTCACATCTATGTTTGTGTAATAGTTTACTTGTCTTTTTCTGTTGGACACTTAAGTTTTCAATTTTTAAAATAATAAATAATGGTGTTACTTTTAGAAATGACAGCATTAGTAATCAGGTAGAGTTGATACTTGAAAAAAATTTCAATAGGGTAGTCTTCTGAAGAATTAGAATTCAAGGAGAATAATACTGAATTTGTGTTAATATCCAGATTAGACAAATTTTGTGCTTTCTGTTGAAAAAATATGCCATAAGTATTTAATAAATTATCTAGTGATGATTCATAATAAAGTGAATCCAAGATTTTTATAATGGTATATTTTATAAAGTATGTTCTACTTTGAATTGTATTAAACTACCTTTGCATTTCATGAGCATAAATCATTTGGATAGCAATGCTCTTGATCAAGCCTTCTAAGTAGGGTGGGAATCTATGAAGGAGTCTACACACACAATTAAAATTTGAGCTATAACATTTTTTTTTACAGTGGATTAAGTTCAACAGAGAGTTTTTTTGATTGCTCCAAAATACTTTCTTAAAAGGAAAATCTAAATCTCAAGAAAGAATCCTTTATCACCCAAAGAATTGACATTAGCTTCATGTAGGGTTTCTGTGAC